GCACGCCTAGGACTGTAGGCCATTACATAGCTAGCCCTCTGCAGTTACTTAATGGTTTTTTACATTTCTGCAGAGGGTATTTTACCTGCAGAGATAATACTGGTAAAGTTTCAAAGTATATTTCAGTTGGCAGAAGAAAAACTAGTAGAAATACTTGAAACATTATGTCTAATGTTCCTCGGTATCTAATTGTAATACTGTGCTTAGTGTAATTCACTGAGCAATCTCAGGCAGGCTGCATGTAAATCCTTTTTCTAACTCTTGTTTCTGTGTGTGTTTAAACAAACACAAGTTATCTCCTGTTGTAGATGGTATGTCCCAAGTGTTGTGTTGGGAAAATCACTAAAGGAAACCACTTAGAAAAAATGCACTTTTTTTTTTTTTTTTTTTTTTTTTTCCCCCTTCGGGTCCTGGAATCTTGACCCGAACTCTGCTCAATGCAGGTGTTAGAGTGGTAGCTCTAGAAAGTAACTCAGCTTTTCTTCCAAACTTACAGGTACACTTTTGATTTGGTAGCACATTTGTAAAACTTAATTAAACGGAAAATAAGAAATTAACTTACAACTGTGTAATAACTGTTGGATCAAAAAGGAATTAGCCTGTGATTGTTACTTGTAACATCTGAAATAATGCTTAATAATAGTAAGTATTGTTTGGTTTTACATTGCACGTTCAGCAACAGACTATTTTATAATCAATTGATTTGACATTTTGTGTATGCAGGAATTCAAGTTCATAGTCTTCCTATGAATAGTTTCATGCATAAATTTGAGGCTAATACTAATCAGAGTCATTGTAATTGTGTATGTTTGAGCAAGATGTCTGTATGTAGTTTTCAGAAATCTGTGATAAATAGTCTTGGTTATTCTGATTATCTCATGGTATTATTTAATCTATTGTCCTGCAATTGACTGGTAATATTAAGATACTTACGTGTGTTGTCCTCTCCTATTCACCTTGGCTTTGCGTGTATTCAAAGGTGGTCAGACACAGGGCTGCAGAAGTTCACTGGAAGGATTGTGTTACAATGCCATAAAGTAGAGGTTTGGAACCAAAAACTCTCACCTGACTTAAAATGTGTATAAAAGGCATTCTCTCTGCATATATGAAGTATTCCAGTTGTAAATCATTAAATGCAGTGGTTTGCTCAGTTGAGTATAGCTTTTTTTGCAAAACATTGCAGAACATCTTACCAATTTAAGAATGTGTTTTAAAGCTCCAGTTGAGGAGCACAAAAACGTCAAAATGCCCTGCACAATGAAGGAAGCTATTCTTTTTATCAGCCGTGAGAAGCAGCTCTGAGATTTGACTGTTGTTGACTGGGTAACAATTTTAGGTAGTGCTTGAACATTTTTTTTGTTTGGGTGGGGTGTTTTGCAAGACAGGTTACTGCATCCAGATTTCTTCAACTGAAACTAATTTTATTCAGTCCCTAGAGAATAGCCTGGATGGACAATTAAAGGTAATTTATGGTGACTTCTTCAGACTGGATCCTTTGGTGACTGGAACCGTGAAACCACCTGCTATGTGTTCTGACAAACTTTTTGAAACCATGGGTGTAGCAGCAGTTCCTTGGAGGGCAGGTATATGTATATGATCACACGTTACAAATACATTTGCAGGGTGCATAGGCAGTTTGGCAAAATCTTTGGGATTTGCTTGAGGTATATGTTCTATTTAATACATATGCTGGATTAATGGATATTGTTTCCTACATTTCAAGTTTATTTCGGTTCTTGATAGTTTCAAAAAACCCTTGTGGCAATATGAGATCTCAGCTATTTGCTTGTTTTTATTAAATGTTTAGTCTAATGCAAACTGGGTTTAGCTTTGACTAAAGCTTGAATTGTATTCATTCTTGAAGAATATGAGCTGACAGGCTTTCTTTTCTTAGTTGTTTGTAGTTTAGACATTAGCATTAATGAGATTGTCTAGTACATATTGCAAAGTTTTAAAGATACTTTTACACACTGTTGAAACAGATGTACCTCTGAAAATTTTTGGAATCTTACCACAAAGAAAGGAAAGGAACACACTTTGGAGGCTTCTTTTTGCCCTGTATGAATGCAGTTCCATATACAGATATGGAAGAGTAGAACTCAACATCTTTATAAGTGAAAAAGAGTACAAGGTATGTGTAAGAGATTTTACAGGTAGTAAAGAATAAGTAGTGCTTCACAGAACACAAAACCATTTATATTGTATAGTTAATGTTTTTGCTAGTGAATTTCTTTTTCTGCCAGAATTTTTAAGTCTTGTCTGTTTCCTACTTGTTCTCCTTATGCAGTAATAGCACTGTCAAGAAACATTCTGTTGTTACATAACCATAAAATCTTAGAAATGTGAAGGCTGGTCCTTGAGAAGGATATGCCACAGCAGACTAGCTGCTTTCCATTGTAACTTGTGAGGTGCTTAAGTTCTGTAATGTGCTTTTGCAACAAAATTGTTTATTAGTTGCAGGTAATAGTCAATGAAGACTGAATTCAAAACGCCCTGTGAAGAGGATTCAGAGTTAGTAAATACCATACTCAGTGAGATGCACTTGCTCTCTTGAGCCACTTTTGTGTGTAGTACTGAAAAAAACTAAGGCAAAATATAAATGATTACACACCTTTTCATTAAGGTTCTGTACGCTAAGGTGCAGAGCAGCTTTCTGGGTTATGTGTTCCTAATTTACACTGTCCCAAACCTCTAGAACTGTACTTATATTTCAAGGGTACCTTTTCTTTCTGTGAAACTGTAAGGTTCATACAGAGCCCCAAACCTTTAATTACTTAAAGTAAGCAAAGACTTCCAGGTGTGCTTACACAACCTGTGTTGTGTCTGACACGCTACTGAAAAAAATCAAGCGTCTTAAGTATATTCTGCAAAATGACAGGTTGGACACCACTGAAATATCCACTTAAATGGTATGTTTTAGTGGCCAGATTTTTGAGCAAATAGGGGACAGCCTATTCATCTAATGCAGTCACTGTGGGTTTTTTTAAGTTTTCTGGTTTTATTGTGAACCTTGCTAAGTGAGAGCTGTGTACCTAAGTAAAAGCAATTGGAACCTTCTTTTTGGTTTTTGGTTGGTCGTATGACGAGGGTCTCTAAATCTATTATGAGAAGTTAAATCTCCCTGCTACAATTTACTTTATTTGCCCTGTTTGAGAATAACCACAAGTTTTTCCTTTTTTCCTTGCCCTAAGAGTTGTCTGATCTGTAATATTGATCAGGATGATGACTGCGCAAGCTGCTTAGTGTTCAGTGAGGTCACCTGATGTTTGACTTACTCTGCTTGTGTGTCTTATTGGGAATATTATCTTATCAGTGTGAGCTGATAACTCTGCCCATGTTACGGTTTTTATACAAAATATGATTCCTGTTTCTCTTCTGTGTGAAGCTTCTCTGCCTTAAAAGGGACCAGAAAGTATAAGCTGGAAATTCCTACACACTTCAGTTATCCAAATAACTGCTGCAAAGAAATACTTAGACTGCCATAATGTCTTCTAAACATGTGTTCTGACAAGATGTACTAAAATAGCACAAAGTATGTATTTGAGGCCTAATGTAACTTTACCTTGGAATTTTAGACTTAACTATGAATTTCTTACCACTTGTTATATATATAAGGATTTTGCTTAGATAAAGAAACAATCTTAGTTTTTGCAACAAAAATGCTCTTTCTCGCCATTTTGTTAGGTATTAACAGCAAAGCCTGGGGAAGCAAGGGCTTACCAAGCACTTACTGTACTTTGGCAAATAGGATGTGAAATTCAGCTACTGCACATGGTAAGTTTTTTGTACCAGCTGACATGGTCTAATGCTATGGACATGTTTTTAGAAAAGGGTTTATGGTGTTTTACTATCGTAAACTAATTGGAAGCTAATTTGACGTTTAAATTAGTTGAAGAACTATTGAAAGCTGTTGGATAAAAACCTGAAACAGTCATGTTTTGTGTCAAACTCTTTCATTTAAGCAGCATCATTATTAAATATGATGTCAGTATTTTCGTTACAAGTTACTGTACTCAAAAACATTTATTCTCAGAAGCTGGTAGATAAGAAAGAGATTTTGTGCAACAGATAAGACTTTTCCATCTTGCTAGGGATTGTGTGAGACTAGAAGACTGCTCTTCCAATCTGTCACAGTCTGCTCTTTATGTCCTCTGCATTTTGCCATCATGTATGCTTTTGACTTCCTGAGCTGTGTTCAGTACAAATATGTTTTTAGTCTTGGTGCCTTTATGTTATTCTCCTAGAGAAGCTGGCGGCTCACG